TTAAAAAAAAGAAATTTATAAAAAATCGTATAAGCAAGTGAAACATGCTGCGGTTGGCCATGCAATTAAAACGGTACTAAATATTTGGTGCATGCAAAGTTTTTCTAATTTATTATTATTATTTTTTTTTTTTTAATTTTTCTCGAACAATTCGTTAACTCCATATTGAACATAACTAATTAACAGAAGCGTAAATATTGTTGATTTATTTGTTGTAAATATAACCTTAAATTATTTACAAAATACGCAATGGCATTTGGTAAAACAAAGCAAGAGAGAGAAAGAGAGACTCACTGCGTGCGTGTGCGCAAGTTTCGGGTCAAGTCCAATATACATTTTTACTTAAAGAATTTGTTTTATTTCACAATATCTTGTTTTTTGTTTTAATTATGTTCAAAACCTCGCCCGCTTTATAAGTTGATGTATTAACCAACTTTTTTTTTAAACTTTTTTTTAATTTATTGTTTAATTTTTAAAATTTTTCTTATATTTTTTTTTGAACTTTTTTTTTGAATATTTTGTTTAATTATTGCATTGAATATTTTATTGTGATTTTTTTAATAATAAGTAAGCCACTAATTCATATTTTTTATTTAAAGAAAAAAAAAATCATAAACATTTGTTTTCCCATCACCGTTATTCCTTGCTTGTGTTGTTGTATGTGTTACGAATGGTATTCGGCAAGTTTAAGGCGAGATGCAATATAAATATGTCCATATATTTCATATGTATGTAAATTCATTCGTACATATGTTATTTTTGTACCAAAATAGTAGGTATAAATAGTTGATGTGTGTGTAAAAAACGCCAGAAGCGTGCTTTTAGAATGCTGAGCAAAATTTTACAAATCAAATATAATTTTGAACAGTTGTGAAAATAGTTGTTACAATAAATTTAAAATTCAGAAAAATATGTTGCAGAATCTTGAAATAAAAGATTTTGAATATGTAAATTTAAAAACAAAATTCGAATTTCGAAAACAAAAAATTCAACCAGTTGTGGGAAAAAATTGCAAAACTAATTTTCAAAAAACAAAAAATTTAAAATGTGAATATATAAATTTTCGTAATAAAAAATTTCGAATTTTGAAAAAAGTTTCGAGTTCCAAAAAAAGTTTAACCCGTTATATTCAAAATTGTTAAACAGGAATGGAAAAGTAAAAAAAAAAATTTAAAACTTA